GCAGATGGAACCACAGACCGTTTGCTTCTCTGCTGTCGGTCTCTCTCTCTTTCTTTGCTTCAGATTTGTATTATTCTCTCTTATATGTACTGCTTCACCTCTGTTTTTCCTTTCCTCTTTTCGCTGTCTTTCTTCCTTTGGGGCCGCAGTGGCTTTCATCCTGATAATGACCCTTTGCATAAAGTCGGGTTCACAAAGAAATGTTTTTGTACAGATTGAAAAAACTTGACAGCACAAAGTCCATGACCTCGTCTCCAACACCTCTGGGATGAATTGGAACAATGACTTTGGCCTTTTTACCCGACATTAGTGCCTGACCTCTCTATGTGGATTAATGAGAGCAAATCCCTGCAGCCTGGTGTCAAAATCTTGTGGAAAGCCTGAAACCAGAATAATTCAGGCTATAACAGCAGCACAGTCAGGGTTTTAAATGTTCAACAATGACCTTATGGTCAGCTAATGGATTTTGGAGAAATGTGCTATGCCAGCTCAAGGAAGCTTCAAAGAAAAACATATTTTAGAGGGTTGGAGACTAATTCTAGCCAGATGTTGAAAAGCTGGAAATGCATCCATCCTCAGTATTGATCTGTGTCGGTGTGGGAGTGTGTAAGTTAAAGCTGGTGGAGACGATACACCTTTTGTGTTAAATGTGTTTGTGTTTCTGGATAATTGTGAACTTGTTGACTTGTTAACTGTTAATTGTTGTCACTATACGAGTGATTACTGTAGAAATAGTATTTGATAGTAGCATTAGTCACAGCAGCACGTTCTGTGTATTTTCAGTTGTTTGTGTGTGTAAGGGTGTGTGTCTCTGTGCGTTTCTTTATGTTGCATCACCACTGATCTCAACAGTCATGCCGTGGAGCCTTGGGCTGTTCTCTTCAGCGTAGCGTCTGGGGAGAATCAGCCTGTAAGCGAGTGTCTAAAAAGAGAGGAAGAAGAGAAGTTGTTTTCTCTTTTATGCATTCCTCTGTTACACACTGCTGTTTGTTTTCCTGGATCGTCTTTAAGATAAACTCCCTTTTTAATACCCATCTCCTTCAAATACCTGTTCAGTATATTAAGTGTGTGCCGAACGCTGAGGTGTTGTTTGTTTGGGATGTGTGTGCTGGGGAATGTGAATATAGGTGTGATGATAGATATCGCTGTGTCACTGGGTGTATAGAAATGTAGCTTTTGTGTCATCTAAAGGTTAAACAACTATATTAGCTTGTCAATCCGGGCCTCATACAAGAAAACCTCCTATCTCACCACATCTTATATAGTGAAATTGATACAATTGAATTCCTAATTGACTCCCACTCTGCTCAGTTACTGCCTGACAGGCTTTGTCCACACCAACACCTGGCGTGGGTTGGCGGAGCTGTTAATGGCAATCAGTGCTCGTTTCTGATTTATCAACGGTGCTCAGATTGAGTTTACAAGTGCAACTGAAGGTGGACACTACGGCTGTCACAGGAAATCCCCAAACAATTATTGCCATTGCATTTCGCCTCTGGACAGCTAATGAGAAAAGACATGGCAGGAGAGCTTTCGGTACAAGCAAACTTATTTTTCTGGAAAAAGGACATCACGATTGATGAGAGTACAGAACACTTTTTTCTAATAATGATGGATGCAGCTCCTGTAGCAAGTTGTGTGGCCATGTGATGTGATGTGATCAGTTTGGTTGACTCACAGTCTGCACTCCGAATGCTCATTTCTGAGAGACAGAGATGAGAGACAGACGATATATCGTATACTGACGAGCAGCAGAAGCACACAGGAAGCAAGAAAGCTGAATATCAATTATTTAAAATAATTTGAACATTTTATTAAAATTTAATTATTTAAAAGTAGAGAAATGTTTTATGATCATCCCATGAGAATCCCTTTTAAATGACTTTTTCTTTTTTTATTTGTGTTAAGAATATTTTTCTTTAAAACCACAATTCTTTTTTTCTTATTTATTTATTAAAGACAAGAATATTTTTCAATTATTCGTGTTTGCTTTTTAGAATGTTCTTCTTTAAAACCAAGTATTTTATTTATTTATTTATTTTAGTTTGCATTTCAGACTGTTTTTCTTTAAAGGGGACTTATCATGCAAAATGCACTTTTTGATGTCTTTTATACATAAATATGTGTCCCCGGTGTGTCAGGGAACTCACACAGCGTCAGAAAATAAAACCCTCTCTCTTTCCTCCGTACCCAAATCTCTAAAAACGGGGCTACAACGGAGCTGATCCAGATTTGCGTCCGATATGACGTAATATCGGAAATGTGGACCCACGGCACTATCAGAAAGTTGCTATCAGAAACAATGCCCGACTGTTTTGGACGTAATATGGTCGGTGTTTACATTAGCATCGCTAACACTCAGAGCTAACCTGTACTGGAGAGCATGTGTGTGAAGAAGCAGGAAATAAAAAGGAACTCACCTTGTGGTATAACCGGCAAGAGAGAAAGCCTTTGAGCTCAATACTGTTTCAGAAATAATCCTTGATAATCCATGATATGTCGTTTCATCCCGGCAGTATTTAGTTTAGACAGTAGCAGCCGGTCCCGCATGAGCTCAGCCCCCTCCTTTTTTTGTTTTTATCAATTCTTTTTTTTTTTTAAAGCTTTATATCCAAAATCAGCACTTTTGAAACAGGAAGTGAAATAGAGGGATATGAGGCATGGCTAGAATGGGTGATCTGTTTGGTATTTTGAGCAAAACACTTCATAGACATGTTTTTTATATATTTGTATATATCTGAGACCTATGCTATTGCCTAAAAATAGCATGATAGGTGCACTTTAATACCGAGAAGCTAATATGACAGTTATAGCATATAATATCATTAAGTGCAATTTGAAAATTGCAAAAAGATGTGCTTGCCAAAAACAGGACTTTTTTTATGTAACTTGTAACCAAATAGTTTGATTATGCTGCCCCTAGTTATGGTTGCTATGCTGTGATTGGACAGATTATGTTAGGGAGTTAACAGCTAACAGTGAAAGTGAAAATAACCCTGCCCTTGTTGTTCAAATAACTTTGACATGAAGTTATATCTATGATATGAAGTGCAATGTAACATTTCCATCCTTTTCTACACAGGCCGGGCTTCACTAAAACATCATTTTGTGCGGGGTAAATGAGTCAATGTGTGTATGTGTCTGTCCTTGACATGTGATAAAACACCACAAACCTGATTTTGATGCAACTCTGGGGAGTAATGGATCACAGCGCTCTGGCATTTTCAAAATGACTGTGTTTGGCCCAAGGTGGCAGCGGCAATTACCTGGCAAACATTTTAATAACCAGTCATATGTCACATGCTGCCGGGGAATAAAACGAAACTCAGAGCACTTACCCAACTACCCATGCTTTCCAAATTTGTCTCCAGGGCCAACAGTTTGCAACATATTGGATTTTTCAATGTATTGAGCTGTTTCAAAACCAGTTTGCCCCCAGGCTTTATTTCTCCTTGTTCTCCAAATTAATTTACTGATCACTTCAGAAGTCACTGCCTCATTTTAATCCCTTTCAACGTAAGGCACAAACATAAAAGTGTAAAGAGAAGAAAACAATGCAAATAGACCCATACAACATATTATATTGTTACATAACAGACTTAAAAATGATTTGTTCCAGACATGGTGGCACAAAAGACACATTCTCCAGCTCCTAAATAGAAAGAATATAATTAAACTACTGTTCACAGTGAATTGAGGAAAAGAACAACCCCAAGGTTTGCTAGGTGTATATCTGGCATCTTTCAACACAGTGGGATCCTTTACCTTCCAGCAATGCTTTTAATTCTCACAATGCACATACAATTGCTCTGTGAAAGACTTTAAGTAAAAAATACACCTGTCAGCTGAAGTAGAAGAACTTTCTTTCGGGTTAATGGAGATTTAATTAGGTTAGATGTGGTTTTTTGATCACAAATTGGGAAATTGTTTTGTCATAGCAGCATGTTAAAAAGCCATTGCAGATTAGTTGAAAGTAGAAAATAATGAAATAAACATAAATAAACAGGACCAACAGTGGAAAGATGCATGTCTATATTATATGCTACAATAGACCAACCTACTGTAGTGTTTTTTTTAACATAGTAAACTATATAACTAAATTATTAAACTGTGCAGTGTAGTCACAGTTTTTTTAATTTAGATGCAATGAGGTAGAGTGTGACCACAATATATACAACTTGCAGGGTTAAAGTTCAGAGTTGAATCTGGTTAAAAAAGGGCAGAGGTGAGCTGTGTTAGAGGGTTATTGCTGTTGGAAGGAGATATGTTGTGTATCGGTCCAGTTTCAGTCTGTTAGAGAAAGAGCAGTGCTGTCTGTCCAGTAGCTGCTGGAGAAGATTCGGGAAACCTAAGTGATAGGTCATCTGCTCATCTGCTCTGCACAGAGACATACAAAGAGTCTGAATCTGCAGCATGTGAGTGTTCCTTTCCTTTTTGGCTGGTGTTATAAGCTCACAGAAGTTATGGGGAATCTTTTATTTATTTGCCTAACACTACAGGGATCCATATCTTGCCCATGCACCACTGACGCTCCAATAGGTCAAAACCATTTAACCCATTAGCCACAGTTGCCTCACACAAGTTATGGTCTTTGCCCAGTGAAATATTTTTTTCCATATCAGATGTTTTCGTTCAAGGGATTTAAAGAAACCTAAAGAGATACATATCCTGTATTTCTCACTAAAAGTAGAAAGAAGTTGTAAAATAGAGGAAATGTTTTGGTATAGAAATGTTTATGTGCTTTATTTTACTTGATGAGAATGTTGTGACCACTCTGAAAGTCCATTTAGCATTTACATTACTTGTAGAAATTGTAGGTGGAACAGATAGATCAAGGTTCATTAAAATGCAGACCTTAATCTGACTGTCGGACAATAAACGGATAGAGTTAACACTACAAAGAACAACTTGGTGCTCCTAAACATAGGAATATGTTCGCTGCTGTGTTTTGATATAAGTCAATTGCTTGTACAGTAAGTGTACGTCCCTCTGTTTTTCAGAGTATCCCAGCGCTGCCCTGCGGTAAAGCCCTTTACTCGTACGAAGGAAAGGAACCAGGCGATCTCCAATTCTCCAAGGGTGACATCATCATCCTGCGACGCAAGGTGGATGACAACTGGTACCATGGCGAGCTCAACAGTTGCCATGGTTTCTTGCCCGCTAGTTACATCCAGTTGCTGCGTCCCCTGAGCCAAACTCCACCCCAGGGCAAAGCACTGTATGACTTTGAGGTCAAAGATAAAGACCAGGATAAAGACTGTCTGGCCTTCAGCAAGGTAACACACACACACACACATGCTGTACACACACACTTCACTTTTATATGAAACACAGAACAAATATTATTCGAACGGCACATGGAGAGTGCAGACCTCTGCCAGCCAAGGCCTTCCCCATAAGTGAAAAATAATGGGTGTATGCTCCAAAATAAATTGAATTTACCCTTGGCCCATGCTACACCCTTGCACAAAGTTTCTTGAACCACAGGCCATTAGTTTCTGCTGAAAAACAAACAAACAATCCACAAACATAACCTTCTTTGCAAGGGTAATAATGTGAAATATGGATTAATCAGTGGAGGGAGATTAGTGAAATGGCTGAATTTACAACAACAGGAAAAGTGGTTTTAAAGCAGGGGGATCTTTGTAGGACTCTAATAATGTATTACTGCTGCCTAGCCCCTTTAGATTGGCTCTCAGACTGTTAACCAGAGCAACTTGGTAAAAAAAGGTTCCTTTAAAAAGGAACTGCGGTTTTCACCTTTTATTCAAATTTGGTTTGGTTCATGTTGTCAGATGTTTAATTTTGTCTCACTTTATGTCTTGAGTCAGATGTCCTTGTTAGTTTAAAAAAAATGTTTAGTCAACCCAATGTATTTTCGGTCAATAGAAACTGTTAAAATATGTTGTAGTCCCAAACCCTTTTGTTGTCATCATAGAAGACCATGTCAGTCCTGATATCGCACACACAGTACAGGAAAATAGAATTGCTGCATAAAAGAAACATTACTTTTCACTGCCTTAGCCATTTGTGTGTTTGTTTGATGTAAGGTGGTAATGTGCGTGTCATTGTCAAGTGCAGTATGGCTGATGGACATGAGCTTCTTCACACTTTTTTGTTTTTCTGTTAAAGTCACAAAGGCTTGCATATTTCTGGACAAGAAATGAGTTGGTACTTTTAGTTTTGCCTTTGCCTTAACAATTTAACATTGATTTTGTTCTTACAACTTAACTTCAAATGATGCATGAAAAGCTCTGCAAGTCAGTGGGTCTGATATGAGGTTGGAGTTGACAAAGAGTAGCAGTTGCTGCCTGCAAAGCTTTTTTAATTACTGATAGTTACTTATCTAACCTTTGACTGAAACATGTTTTAAATGTACTCTAGTATTTTTGGATTATAGATTCTGGCATCTAAGATTGGATTGTTCTTTTTGCAATGAGTTTGGAAAAGAAATATTCAACAACATGAAACAAACAAACCTATCCTCTCCATCTAGTAGGACACTTTAGATTGTCACTACATGTATTACTACTAATGTATTGTAATACATTATGTTGTGCCACTGATGGTGAGTTTTTTTTACGTCATGCTGACCTAAAAACTAATTCCACCAACTCTGGTCGAATTTCCATTTAAGTGAAGCAAAGCGATGTTATGTTTGTTCTGGTTGCCAGTATTAATAATAAGTATATTTTTCTCTGAATGCAGGAACCTGCATCTATTTGTCTTCATGTATCCTGTTGGTCTTGTGGGGTTTTGGGTCTCAGGTGTGAGAGGTAACATGTGAAACACTGGGAGCGATCTCAGCGAGGTGTAGTGCGTCATCATCACCCGAGATATGTAAAGTGAGAACTGGAAAGTGCAAGAAAGTAGGCACATACCTTATGTCTGCTTTTTCTGACCAAGGCTGCTTGTTAATTAGCACAGCGTCATGCTCTGCTAATTAACAAGCACAGTGTCTCTCCTGCACCTGTTAAAGTTGATGGCTCTTCGGATTTGTGCCAATTATCTTCAGGTGTCACTGTCTTCAGGTCCCTTTTGATATAGATTTCTTCCTATTTAAAAAAAATAATGTGTACATGTTGGATTTGGGGAAGGTGTTCTGTGGATCAGTTTAGAGTAGGTTCAAAATCATTTCACACGGTATCAAACAAATTATAGTTTCAAAGGGATGGATTAGATCAGAGAAGATACTCAAGGGCAAATTCACAAAAGGATTCTACAGCTTTTTCTGCAGCAGTTACCCTGCACACATTAGACATAACGGTACTGTGTCATTTTCTAGAGCACTAGCAAAGATTAAAATACCCCCCTTAGTGCTTTCCCTTGGTGCTCTTGTGCTTTATGCATGGATTTAAATTAGCTGATATGTAGGTCTCCATTTGACGCCAAATTGAGCCTCATTGCAAATACAGTCTTCAGGGAGATGGTGGTAACTGAAGAGCATTTATAAGGTGTGTCATGCCAAGACAAGATCAGCGGCTGTAATCCTTTCTTTGTGAATTCACCAGTCAGTCTTTTTAAAAGTATGTATGCAGGTTGGGTTTGGTGTAAAAAAGTCATTTGTATTCTGTGTATGTTTCTGTTCCCAAGAGCTTGTCATTTGTTCCTGCTGTTACACAGACTCATTTGTTTGAGGACTGAACACTCTGTCTCTGCCCTGTAATTGTGTGTTTGTGGAGGGAAGAAGATTACTACATTACAGCGTACAGTACACTTCACTGTAGGTGCTGTAGGACTAATCACAGCAATGCAAAGCATATATATATATATCCTTGTTGCAAACTCACTCTGCTTTACATCCTGATTAACGGATAATGACGAGAATTTCAGAGTTCACATCATTCTGAGTTTTACGGCTAATCTAATCATCAGGTTCATGATTGAAGATTACACAAAGACATACACTCACACAGACACGAGTGTCCCTGGGGTGCGCTGTGTGTGCGATGTCATGCAGAAACCAGTGTCTGTGATATTGTTTTTTCATGCGAGAGACAATTTCTCAGTATGATTAATACACAACAGTCATTTACCAGCATTATCACTGCCTTCCCTAATGGTGTAGCCAAGACCTGCATGTGCATGGGAGTAGAAGAGCAACTGAGGGAAAAGGAAGTGTGTGGTGGTGTTGAATGAAGAACATAATATGTTTCCATATAATGTTGCTGAAAACATTATAAGATAAAAATGAAGGCAATTGAAATGAAGTGAAACCAGTATCTGCCTATCAATCTAAAAACATATCCACGCACGATTTGTAGTCAATGAGCTACAACTTGCAAAACACCATTCGCCATCATTCCTGAGTTAAGCAATCCAACAGATGGACATAAAAAATGGTGAGGAAAGTTTTTTTCAAACCGTGTAAGGATTCAATAGACAATTTCAGAAGACACAAACATCCACTCACAAAGAGTTTGAGATGCTTTGTTTTGGCCAGTTTCTGATAAATAAAGTGTTTTTTAAGTGATGAAGACAGAAAGCCGCATTTCTTTCTTTATTTATCCTTTTCTTTACTTTATTATAATACAAATGGATTTGAACACATGTGGTGGACCTACAATGTGTGTAGTCTCAATACTCATTTCCTCTCTCTCCAGGATGAGGTACTGACAGTAATCAGGCGAGTGGACGAGAACTGGGCAGAAGGCATGCTGGGAGACAAGATTGGCATCTTCCCCATTCTCTATGTGGAGGTAAACCCACAGACATTACACAGAAACACACACAAAACACTTACATATCAGGTTATTTCAGAAATAGCTGTAAAAGCAACAGCACAACACCTTCAGTACAGTATTTTCATTTATCATAATGCTACTTTTTAAATGAAGAGAACATTTTCTTTCTTGGTTGAAAGTATATTCTGTGTACTTCGACAAGAAACAATGTCAATGTTTTGTTTGTATGACTGGAAACATTCCCAGTATGTTGCTAACATCCATTAAAAATGTACAAAAAACTTGACATGTAAGTGCAGTTTTTGCGGTTCACAAAAGAAAGATGGATATTAAGATACTTGGAGTTTTTATTTTCCACCTTTAAACATGGAGATTGCATGTTTATCTTCATTGAGGTTCCACATGATGTTTCACTATGAGGATGTGATGTTGTGTTTTCTATGTTTGTCCACCTATCTAAAGAAATGCCCTACCAAATATTAACATTTCCCCTGGAATATAAATTGTGTTATAAATGCTGTTTGAAACCAGGCAGAGGTGGAGTTTTTTTTAAGGGATTTAACGGATAAAACCCCCATCACCCGAAACATTTTACCGTCTTTCATAGTGCCATGCCTGTCAAGAGTGAAATATAGTTTACTTTTAATCCATGTGCAACTGAAAAAAAACCATGCACAATTTGCTCTGCATCGAATTTAAGGCTTTTAAGCCGTAGTAAATAAGCAGTTGGTAGAAACTGGAAAGAAAGTGTGCTTCCTTACGTTTTCTGTAAGCTGTCTCTTTTCATTTCATCACCACAAAATTGAGTGTGAGCTAATTCTCTTGTGTCCCTGTTGTAAACAAACGATGAAACATTCAAAACAGATGCATGTTTGCAAAGCAATAAGACCCAATGTACATGTCTTCTGAATTGTGTATTCATGTACTGTGGCTTAGAGAAATTCATTTACGTAGAGATTAAGGAGAGACACTAATGGGATGACTTCTTCATGCTGCAAACATTATTTTCCTCTGATAGCCACATCCCTACAATCAAGCTTCTCTTTTCTGTTTAGCCATCCTTTCATCATGCTGCCCTCTCAACACACACCATCTCTCTCCCTGGGATGACAGCCTGAACGGGTTTGGACTCTTGGCTACCCAATCATGTCGCTGAAATTAGCTATTTGACCAAACGGCTCTCTTAGGTGATGACTATTAAGCCGTACAGAAGGCTGTGAAAGGCAGGGACAAACACACACAGACACACAGGGTCTGCTATTAGATAGAGATGCATCAATTATTTAGAGCTCTCCATCACTCTGACACAGCAGGGGTTACAGGGGCATGTTGTGTGTGTGTGTGTGTGTGTGTGTGTGTGTGTGTGTGTGTGTGTGTGTGTGTGTGTGTGTGTGTGTGTGTGTGTGTGTGTGTGTGTGTGTGTGTGTGTGTGTGTGTGTGTGTGTGTGTGTGTGTGTGTGTGTGTGTGTGTGTGTGTGTGTGTGTGTGTGTGTGTGTGTGTGTGTGTGTGTGTACGCAGTGGGAGCTTAATGAGGGGGGGCCCAGCTGGACTGCTGCTGATCTGTGTGGTGTGTGTGTCTCTCTGGATATGAAGTACATCGTCTTGTCTTAATTTCCGACTGCTTGTATTCTGGATCAACAGACTTGAGATGAAGGATTTGCTGCTGATGGAGATGCCACTGAAATGGTCATAATTGCATGGAGTTGTGTGAAGTTATTAGGGAATGTTGTACACATATTCGATTGGCCAGCACCTTGCATTGCTGGTTGATGTTGCACTGACTTTTAGCCAAGTTGAACTATTTTTGCTGAAACAAGTTTCTTGGAGCCCTCTGCATCCGGACCACCGCTGTGCCAACAAATGTCTCATTGAAGACAGAAGATGTGGTATATTGCACAATGCTGATGTCACTTTTGTCCAGGCTGTGCTATTAGATACATGATAATAGAAAAAAAGACACAAAGAGTACTGGTTTAACTTTGTCCTTGATTAAAATACCTATGTTCTGATATTATCATGAAAAAAGAATCAATCAATAGGATAACTTAAATTACTAAAATCAAAAACATGAATTCGTTTTTCCAACATAGGTTAAGTCAAACAAACATGCAGTTTTTAATAATCTATTCTCAAATGTATTGTGGTTAAATGGCCAAAGGAGACAGAAGTTTTGCATCAGAATGACTCGTTATCTCGAATAGTCGTTATCCTCACTGTACATATAAAACAAATAATTAACTTGTCAGGAATTAGTTATATAAGCTAATTGCAGGATAGTAGGTACTGAATGTGAGTTATGTTTTGGCAGTCGTGGATGGATTCGCTCAGTTTGTGTTTCTGCTGGTGTGGGTGTATTTGTATCTCCATCAGGAACATGTTTGGATGGTTTGTTGAGTTTATACACCTGGTGTGGATTTATGTTGCTATAAATAAACTACCAGAATTGAATATGGGTGGGTGTGCTGAGTGGGTTGGATGGTGTTGTATAAGTTGATTTGACGTCAGCTTATATGGGTTTGCTTTTGAGTGTGGATGGGTTTTGGCAGATGTGAGGTTGAGTCATGCAGATGGGAGAACAGGTGGACAGGTTTGTCATAAATCAAGGACACCTCTGTCCCTTTGTTTCCCTTTCTTTCTCCCTCTTTCACTTTATGCATCGACCTGTCTCTGCGGCAGGAGGGAGTTGGCACACACCTGCCACTGGGTACGTGTGTGTGCATGAGCATGCATGTATCCTGCCGGCTTAGCCTTTTCGCACTGCAGATATCAGCTCATCAGCTCGAGTCTCAGCGATACCTGGGGAGAGCACCCACCCTCCAAAAGACTCACAGAACGGAGAGTACAGTTTGCTCAACACAAAATAGATGACCTTGGAGATTTCATCCGGCCAAAATCACCAAGCGAAGAATTGTCTCAACATCTCTCTCTCTTACACACACACACACACACACACACACACACACACACACACACACACACACACACACACACACACACACACACACACACACACTCTCCCTTGTGTCCTTTACTGCAGCATGACCAGGCAATATAGCAGTGGTTGTTAAAGAGAAACTTCCTTAGCAGTCATTTGTGTGCGCGTGCGTGTGCGTGTGTATGTATGTGAGGAATAAACTTAAATCCATGGGTAAAGTTACTTGATTGGTTCCTTTTTTGGGGGCGTATTTGTCTCACTTACCTTCTTTGTGTGTGTGTGTGTGTGTGTGTGTGTGTGTGTGTGTGTGTGTGTGTGTGTGTGTGTGTGTGTGTGTGTGTGTGTGTGTGTGTGTGTGTGTGTGTGTGTGTGTGTGTGTGTGTGTGTGTGTGTGTGTGTGTGTGTGTGTGTGTGTGTGTGTGTGTGTGTGTGTGTGTGCGCGCGCATGTGTGTCCGACCTCTAGTCCGCCTCACGAGAACAAACTGAGTTGTATCTGCAGCATCAATCCATCATGCTTATTAGCATATGATTTGGCATTGATTAGCATATCTATTAATATGTAAATGAAACATCACCAACGCTGAGACCAGACGGGTCAGTCGTGTCCACTCTCTCTCGTTCTGCCTCGAACACACAAACACACACATTCGTAAAAAAAAGAAATGCTAAACTTTGTCTCCAGGGATAGTTCAGGAGTTTGACGTTACGCTAAGCAGACAGGATTTTACTTTACAGGACTGCAGATTTAGTCTATTTATGTGTCAGTTTATGTGTCCCTGTTTTCACATTGGCCTGTGTGCGGATTCTTTTAGTGTGTGGGCATAGTCACCCAAGCCTTGAGTTAAACATATTTTCTTTATATCCTTGCTTTTTACTCTGTAGAGACAAGGTTTTAACACCGTGCAGAGGTAATTATAGAGCATTAAGAAATATCTGTCCTCTGATGTTATTGTATATAACATGTATGTACCATGTTGCATAATTTATTTAAGTATGCTCTGAAACAAATATCAGCCATTTTCACACCAACTATCCCTGAGCCCAGCAAAGCCTGATATATACAACATGGATGATCCTTAGCACATAACATAAAGAAAGTATCTTGAAAAACACACCAAAACGGTACTGCTGAATGAGGCAGAGGAGGTTAAATTGCAAGCAGCAGGTAGTTGGGGAACATTAAGGAGCAGTGTGAGTGTTGGAGTGAGCAGAATTAATGAGCGCCAGGCTGCTTCTGAACCTACCTAAACTACCGCAAAGCCCCATAATTGTCAACACGCTGACTGTTTTTCCATTTACAACCAAGACATGCTTTCAGCCACAGGGCAAAAAAACCCTAAGGCATCACGTTGTGTGATAGCTATATAGGGGATGCTTCAGCTTTTATAAGTTATTGCAACATGCTGCTTATCTGTATGTGTATGGAACATCCATTCTTTCATTTTAACAACTTTATTTTCACTCCACTCTGATAAGAAAAGTCTCAGCTCTAGCTTGCTAAAATTACACATGGAATTAAACGGTGTTATGTACTACACCAGTCATTTATTTTGGAAGTGAGGAAATTATCTGATCCCCATCACAGACCGCAAATGAGGATCACATATTAGAGAACAGAAGATCAGAAATATGTATGTGTCCTCTTGCCTCTTGTGCTATTCCTCAACCTATCTTGTTTTGGTGTGAGTTGCAGAGTGTCTGAGACATTAGATACAGATATGTGTCTTCTCTCAAATTTATTAGAACTAGATGGAAATATTGTTACTTTTGAAAACCCCAAATCAATGTCTTTATTGCCAGTATTGTGTACATCCGGTGCCATGTGAACTGTCCTTTTTAACAGAGCACAAACAATTCAAAATGCCAGACACACATTTTAAATGATGGTGCTCACACTTGTTTGGATCTACAAAGCTTTGTAAAGTGCCTGACATACTTTTCATTTACTATTAAATTATTATAATTAATATGGTCATGTCAACGTGCAGTGACAGAGGGAGCTTTGGTACCTTAAACCAGTGTTTACTCCTCAGCAGTTTCTAACAACAACAAAAAACAATTCACCATATTATTATAATCCAGATCTGTGACCAGATCATGTGATAAATACAGCTAATTATGGACTCTTTGCTGGAGGGAATGTTTACTTCTTACATTTATTGGGGTAATGATAAAAGCAAAAACATATTCCTAACAGTCAATTAGCATTGTTGTGGATAAAAACCTCATTAGGAAAGCGTAAAATGACAGATTTTCCTTTTTGGTTAGATGTGCAGTGTGTTGCATACATCTTAATCTCATTCCTTAAGCTTTCAAATATGCTATTTTGAGTGTGTGTGCTTGTGATTTGGTAGAAATGCGTTGATTTAAAGGGTGTTAATATCTTACATCTTGACAGTCTTATAACAACATTACTTTGTTCTAAAGCATTAATAAAGTTAACTTGGAATTATTTCATATCTTAAAGTGGACCTATCATGCTATATTTGAATAATATATTGTAGGGCCATACCTATATAAGGTATATTTATACGTTTTCTTTTTCAAAATACCAAACAGATCATGCATTTTAGCCATGCCTCATTTCGCTCTATTTTGCTCTCCTCCACCCTGTCTTTGCATGCGCTGCAGCTGACCACGCCCCCCTGCAAAGGAGGGGGCCGAGTTACGAGCGTCATGTTACCATGCTGTTGCCATGCCACGGCAACCTCTCATTCCCCTGATAGGTGGAGAGTTGGCCATATAGGCGGAGCTCCTCTGTCCTGACATCAGAGAATTGTTCAAATCTAGATCAGTTTTTATCAAATCTGTTGCAGCCCCGTTTTTAGAGATTTGGGTATGGAGGAAAAGAGAGAGGGTTATGTTTTCTGACACTTGGTGAGTTCCCTGGAACACCGGGGACACATATTCATGTATAAAAGACGTACAAAAGTGCATGATAGGTCCCCTTTAGATAAATAACTATCAATTATCCAAGAATGAAGTGAAATTAAACCAAAGTTAGGTGGGAAAAAACGGGATGCTCATGTTTGGTTATGTTGTGCGTGGGAGTCTTTTTTTGACAAAAACAGACTTTAGAGGGAGTGTGTGTTACACAAAGGGAGTCTCACTGGGCCAGTTGTTGTAAGTGATGATTGTAATGCTGCTCGTTTTTTGAAAAGCTGCCAACAAAAACCAGTGAGGAAAGGCCACAAACACTTGTTCTGGATGTGAACCACTAAGGACTGAAATGTAACACCTGAACTCTCCCTCTCTTCTCTCTTGTCCTCCCCCTCTCCTCGCCTCTCTGATCTGTCAACCACCTGCTTCTCCTCTTCCTCTCCTCTCAGTTAAATGAAACAGCCAAGCAGTTGATGGAAATCGACAAGCCCACGTTGACTAACGGTCCAGGTCCCAGCTCAGAGCCAGCCCCGTTGGGTCCCCTGCTCTCCTGGTCCCTCCCCCAGCGCCTCGCCGTCCAATGGAAATGGAAATGGCCACCGGAGAAGCGAAGGGAAGAAGAACGCCAAGAAGAGGCATTCGTTCTCCGCGCTGTCAGTCAACCAGAGGGCCGCCCAACTCAACAACAGACACAGCATGGAGATCTCCCACCCTGTCCTCATCAGCTCTTCTGACCCCCGAGCTGCTGCACGCATACAGGTACACACACACAGAGACACACACACACACACACCCACACACACACACACCCACCACACACCCACACACACACACACACCCACACACACACACACACACACACACACACACACACACACACACACACACACACACACACACACACACACACACACACAGAGACACACACACACACACACACACACACACACACACACACACACACACACACACACACACACACACACACACACACACACACACACACACACACACACACACACACACACACATATGAGTGTTTATATGAAGCAGCGGTGTTAATTACATTTTTTTTGTATTAAATAAAGATACTTCAGTGTAAATGTAAAGTTTGTGCATTCAACCTTGAGTCAAAGTGTGTGAAGTACATACACAAGCGTTGCAGTACTTCAATTATTTTCAGGCCGTATGTGGCTACATTTGGCCATTTGACTAATTAAATACAGTATATGAAGAAAAAGAAAATGCATATAACAATTAAATGAAATGTAAAAACATTTTTTTTTATCTTAATAGCAATTTACATATCTGAAAAACTATTTTCCTGCTTAATATGTTTGGATTAAGGACATGTATGAGTCCAGTTTGTCACACATGAAGGCCATCAAAACAAGACATCAGTCCTCTCTAACAGATTATCACCATTATAGGGTTCTGCAGATTGATTTAACCATATACAATATATAATTATATATGTTATTTTAAACCTGCAATGTTTTCCGGGTTGACACAGTACCAATAAGTGCAGAAATTAGGCTTTATTTCATTTTAAAACAAGCCATTACTGCACAAACTGAAACGTCAGGCAATTAGTCTACATGAATATATGTATGGTAAAGGAAATATCCTGAAGGTTGGCTCCTTGTATAATTACATTTTTTGGTTATTTTTGCTAAGCAGCATTTCACATTTGATAGTGAAAATGGAGCTGATTTAATTTACTTATTTTAGTCTAAATATGAAAAGAAAATATATGATAAATTCTGAAGGAAAGGTACATTATAACTGTACTTAAATGTGTCACATAAATGAATTATTTAATTTTCTCCTCTATTATGTATTTAGTATATGGATAAACTTGACATTTTGTATTGCAATTTCCTGTCAACATGTATACGCTGATTTGGATCAACAGTATTTGCAGTACGCCTCGTTTGAGCCCAGCTTATTTCTTGGTTTGGCTCTAAAAATATGCTTTAAATATGCAGTAAACATGCAGGTGTCCCCTCTCCACTAGATTTTTTATTAACTTATTCCCCAATCACACACTCTGACAGTTGGATGTGCCTAACATCATTGCTCTTTCTGATAGCTGGAGACTGGAGACACATTGCTTCTGCATTCATTGCCTCTGGATGCATTCACACCTGGGTTAAGTGCGTTTTTGAATAACACCCAGGATGCATACTGAAAAGCTGGAAATGCTGCTGGCATATATTGGAGTAATGTTCTGTTTTAAATGGAAGCCACCTGATTTGTATCTCTCTGTGTGTCTGTAGGATGCATCTCACCCGGGTCCCTCTCCCTCCTTGGCAGGGGTACTGGTGCCCCCCAAAGTGGCATCCATAACCTCTGAGCTGCTGGCCCACGCTAAGGTGCAGCTGCCACTCAACATGTGAGTACACCTCAGGGTGCTGTCAGCTCTCCCACCTGCGACCCCTCCTTCCTCCCCCGTTCTGTGTTCCACCCGAGTGGATACGAGCCCTGAGATCCAAGCATGATTTCTGAACCTGCCTCCTGGCAACGTTTAAAATATTTCCTCTTTTGTGCCCAGAGTTATTGGCCACTTTCCACCACCTCTGCAACCACATTTACTCCTCCACTGGTCAACGATCAAATCCCCCTCAGAAAGGAAAAATACCATCAAACACCGTGCCCTCCGTTGAGTTGATGCTTACATCAGTGTTTCATAAGAAGGCTTTCAACAGCTCAGCCATCCCTTACACTCACAATACATTTCATTGTACAGCTGTGATTTGCTTTCATAGGGAAGAGCCCCGGGAAAAGCTAGTTCATCACCTTTTCTTATTACTATTTCCTCAGCCATTGTAGGTCAAATAAAAAATCATGCCAGGCTTCAACTGTGTCACACCACTGTACTGTCCGGCCCTAATACACACGGGTAAGAGAGAGATGAGGATGACATGAAAGAAAAGATGTTGTGATTACATGCCATGATTTTTTTCAACCTTATTTTTCCAAATCTGCTAAAATATTACAACCTCTTACACATTTTATTTACAATAGATGGGTATTACGAAGCATTGTAGGATTTGCTTGGAAGCTGTCCCAGTGACTTAAATGATCTTATCTTATCATTTTGTGAATGGATTAAGAGTGAAAACCACCTGACACATACCAACACAATTCAATTCTGGTGGAAATCTAACCGCACCAGTCACATCCAGATGGCTGGTGAGGCGCCAACGCTGAGCAAGACTTGTTCTATAATTTACCTCCTAATTAATCTACCAGGTAACTGCCAGAAACACACAGGTATCTTCAAGGTGAGTGTGTGTTTGTGCCCTTGTAATTCTACCTGTGTGCGTACCGATTCGAGTTTTAGACCTTGAGAGTAAGGACATTTTGGGATATTTTTGGAAAGTAAGGACATAAGGTCAGTAATCACTTTTTCCAACGTGGGAATTAGGTTTATGGGCCAGGAGGGTCCTCACCAGTATAGAAGTACAAGTGTGTGTGCGTGTGTGCGTGTGTGTGTGTGTGTATGTGTGTGTGTGTGTGTGTGTGTGTGTGTGTGTGTGCGCGTGCGTGTGTGTGTGCACATGTGTGTGTGATGTATACTATTAACTGTATACTGGTATCCTGCCTGCAACATTGTCAGCTTTAATTATATCACTTTCCAAATAGCGCTCTGTACACACACACACACACACACACACACACACACACACACACACAAACGTCCGGAGTAGGCTTGTTCCGCTGATGAGGTCGGACGTTTCCATCTTGACCTGGCAACTATTCCTGTTGCCATGGAAAGACGGGAGACGGTCCCCACATCTGTTACCATGGCAACGGGGAATCAGCGCATATAGGGCTTGTTTACTCTGCGGTGTTATCGTCTTCTGTCGTGAGCCTGCCACTAACATCCTGCTGGGACCAGAAACTTATTTATATGTTAACGCGGAGGCACCACTCATGAACACAGTCTCACATGTAGTGGATGCTAATTTCTGCATTTATCAGCGTACCTGTGAGCAGACAGGTAAACATGGGGTTATTGATTTCCCATTCATGGGACAGCACACAATATGGGAGGGAAAATAATTTAGGCAGCCTCTGGTGGTCACATTAAAACCTCCAAGAGAAATGATTTGAATTCTCCTTGAGAATTGTATAAATCACAGGCCACACTGCAACATTAAAACCGTCATACATCTTAGATTTGATATATGAGCCTCTGATTCTGATATTTTTACAATGTCTTTTGTTATAGTTCAAGGGCACCATTTATTCCAAATATCATATAACACAAAAAGACCCTGATTTTGGTCAACTGGTACTATTCATTTTGTATACATTTATACATACATTTTTTGGGAAATTGGTTAGTCATGTTATAAATTAAAATTGTAGTACAAATAGGAACAATCTAGTATTTAGGGATTTCCATACTATAATAACTCCAAAGGCCTCATTCTTTTGCATAGTCACCAGGTTAAAACTGTAGTCCAAGGTAACAAAGTCGATATAGTAGATATATAGTTTAGCATAGTATATAGTATAGATGTAGTAAAAAAAAAGCTATGTTTAGGATTTATTAGTTAGAAACTGTGCCTCAAAATGTATTTTATTGAATAATGAGTACTTTCACTATCCTAAATGTTGCCAATATTTTCAAAGAGAAATCTGAATTTAAGTCAGCGACGTCTACATCTGAAGTTATCAGAGAACAAGCTGAGCGAACATTAGCGGCAGCCGTTCGTATGATACAGCAGAAATCGACTTGTGCATTTAACTGTAGTAAAACTATCTGTAAAGATCTTTACTCAGTTAAGTTGTTGAGATACAAATAGTAGAGAGCCTTTAAGTAGAAAGGTGTATTGGATTCAGAAAACAATCCTGATTTACTTAAAGGGGACCTATCATGCACTCTTGTACGTCTTTTATACATGAGTATGTGTCCCCGGTGTTCCAGGGAACTCACCAAGTGTCAGAAAACACAACCCTCTCTATTTTCCTCCATACCCAAATCACTAAAAAAGGGGCTGCAACGGATCTGATAAAAACTGATCCAGATTTGAACACTTTCCTGACGTCAGGAAAGTGGCGCTCCGGCTATTGGGCCAACTCCACCAATCAGGAGGAGACAGCCACGGCCATTGCCGTTCGAAAGCGCTGGAGACGCTGTAGTACATATGCCAGGCCTGTAGATGGTGCTGTTCTCACAGAATCAGCCCTTGCAAAAACAGGGCTAAAAAATGTCAAATTGAGCAAAATGAGGCATGGCTAAAATGCATGATCTGTTTGGTATTTTGAAAAAAATAAAGTATAAATATGCCTTATATAGGTATGGTCCTACACTATATTATTCAAATATAGCATGATAGGTCCACTTTAAATAAGCTTGTCTTAACTTGTAGTCCTCCCCCACAACATAAACTTTAAAGGGCGTTTTGTTGTTGCTGTTTGAATGGAATTATTTTGAAATGCTGATGGAGAAAAGGATGGTATATGGTGGGAGGACCAGCCTCCACAGCTCCTCTCTTTGAGCTGACACAGATCCTACTGTAGGACTGCTTTCTGAAGGAGTAGGTGCTGCATCGACATTCTGCAGTTTCTCATCCTCTGCACTGTACATCAAACACCTAAAAAAGAGATATATAAAATAAACACTTCTAGAGAGATTATTAATGAATATTCGTGAGCCATTTTTTGTATACTAAAGCTGTTATTTTCTTCTGATTCAAGTTAAAGACCTTTGGAGTTTGGTATTCTCTCCTCCCTCCTAACAGTTGCTTTTCTAAATGATTGATTTGCTCATTTTCATTTATTTGTTTAGTTATTCATTCATTTGATTTTACTTTGCATAATGCACATTAGGAATAACCCACATGAGAAATGATGGGGATTTAATGAACAGTTTTCGGAGATTTCCTGCTGACTTGAAAGGGTTTATTTATTTTTCCTTACTTTTACATTGTGTCTGTTGCCTTTGTTCCACAGATATCTGGCTTTATACGCCTACAAGCCCCAGAAGGCAGACGAGCTTGAACTTAGGAAAGGGGAGATGTATCGGGTGACAGAGAAGTGCCAAGACGGGTGGTTCAAAGGCACCTCGCTGAGAACCGCTGCCTCCGGTGTCTTCCCGGGAAATTACGTCACCCCCGTGTCCAGGTCAGTGAGCTCAGGATTGGGGAGGGTGGAGATTATCGTGGTGGCACACCTTCCAAAGGAACTATAGCTAGGTTTCAAATGAATCGCACATTTTGAGATAATTGGCAAAAAGTTATTTAATCTAAGTAAACAGTATGTGGTGCCATATCTTAATTCTTAAGTAGTTTGCAACATTACACAAGAAGAGGGTGCTCCAAAACAATGTGATACATCGAGAGATTGTCTCAGCTGAAACAAGGAAAGCAATGTAGACAGAATCAAAGGAAATAGGATATTTCTGTACTTCTTTTTTGCTCCTGTAGTTTTACATCCCTTCAGATGAGCTATGCTCTAGTGTGCGTTGAAGTATAATTTTTTCATGTAGATAATCATACAGCTGCTTAATCTGTTTCTATTGTACACCAATTATCTACCTCAGCAAATCATGAGATACTCGCTATATCTCAAGATATATTTTAGCCTCTTGGCATTTCCACTTGGATGGCTGGAAATGCTTTTGAACTGGTGTTGTGCAGTAACACACTTTCTTAGCTCAAGTTGAAAAAGGGACAAAATGTCATGGCAAAGTGTCTGTCTGTAAAAAAAACTAACAACTGTAATTTACTGTAAATGTAATTGTGGCTACCTCGTTCAGGTCAGACAGCTGATGGGTTGGTAGAGATGGTCAGGGAGCTTCTTCTTCAAGCAATCATGTCATTGTCACATTAAAATGTGTTTTTTTCCAACATTTGCTCCACTTACCAATTGAGTTCCTTCGGGTTGGTCATGTCAACCCAGCAGCAGTGTAGTACAATCAGACTGAGGCCCCTAATTTTGTCCTCACACTAAGGCAGTGGTGGCGCAGTCATTGTAATTTGCATTGACATTTTTGTGGTAATTTTCTGGCTCCAACTGAACCCGAATACACATCAGGCTGAGCAGTGCAATTTTGCATACTTGTTAAGGCACGTAATTGCACGTGTTCCAGTACTCACACTGCCTCTTGTCACAGAGGAACACCCCGAAAAAGCGGAGTCGCAATCTGCCGATACATACTGTATTCCTGGATCTGATAATGTATTCCTCCTGCTTCGTCCTCTGCACCACACCGTGCACTGTCAGGATTCTGCTTTCATATCTGGCACTAAAACTGACAAAAAGGATTTGGTCACACCAGTGAAGACATATTCTTACCAGGAAGGGATTGAAAACTGTGAACAGTTGACTTTTTCAGCAGGAAACAAGACCAGATTTTGAAGTATGTATTAGAGTGGAAACCACAAGAAAATCCATTTTATCCAATCTGTTGAAATCTGTTTTAAAATCTGTTAAAATACAATATAATGTACAAAACAGCAGTCAGCTGATACTGACACTCCCTTCGGTCGGGTTGCCACAAACTTAGTGTAGATCATCATCATCATCACCACCACCATCATCGTCATCATTTTCATCACCATCGTAAACACTGTTACTCAAATCTCTTAAAACCAAATATAACAAAAAGATGAGTGTGCTGAAATCATATTTGGCAATTTAATCACCCTCATTATTCCTGTATGCGTGAAAACATTTGCAGAGGCTGTTCATCTAATCTGTATTCTGCTCAATGATGCAGTCAAAGAAAAAGAAAGAGAGAGGGGGAGAGAATTAAAGCAAGGGCGAATTAGAATAATAGAAAGAAAGAAAATAGAAAGGATTAAATGAGGTGGAGAACAATAACGACAAGATGAAAAGAAAGATATGGAACTGTAGGATAGACAGAAAGTATGAGTGTAGGGAAAAGAAACAGACTGGGAGAGTGAAGAGGTGAGAAAGGTAGAATGAGGTGGGAAGAAATTGAAATACAAGGTAGTAGGAAAGAGGCAGAGAGAGAAAATGAAATGCAGAGATTAAACGGTTGCAGAAACAGCAGGGATCCCTCTCTGGATATGAATGGCTGCTTCACATTCTGCTGTTATACAATCTGAGAGTGAGAGAGAGGACAGGCAAGTAATCAAATGAGAGGCAATTTGTTATTTTTATGCAAGCATACTTTCTCCTTCTCCCTCTTTCCCCTCCCTCCGTCGCTCCTTACCTATCCCCCCTCCTTTGTCTGCAGTGCAGCTCAGAAAATGTACAATATGTTAATGAGAGGCTGCCAAAGATGCCCACACACACACACACACACACACACACACACACACACACACACACACACACACACACACACACACACACACACACACACATATTGTAGAGTGAGACCATTACAGGTTTTCCTGAATTAATTTGATATCTTTTGATAAATGATTGAGTTTCATAATGCATAAATGCTGTTCATGAGGATTTTGAACTCTGGCAAGATGCGCTATTGGTGTAAAGGTTGATTGTTTTCCCTGTAGTAAGAACTTACTGATAGCAGCAAAAATCATCCGTATGGGACTTTACGAGCAAGCCAAACACACTCGATAGGCAAAGAGTGTGTGAATAACTCTGATGTTTCTGTTGGTACACACACACACACATGCTGTACACACGCAGAGAAAGCCATAACTCTGTATGTGTGTGACAAGAAGTCGATGGGCGGCCATAAGAGTGTGAATACGAGTCAATAATGTTGGGCTCACTGTTCTGCCATTCAGCACTCTGCAGAGAGGAGCTCGAGCAGCCTGCAGCTCCATATGTGTTACAGTTGGACATTAAGTCGTGCTGATCCACCGGTCAGATAATAGCTCTGAAATCACTCACTTTGACAGAGGATAATGGCCCCGTTTGCACCTCCTGGTCTGCCATTATGGACAAAACACTGGCTATTAACATTTCTTACTAAACAAAACTCTATGAGGCTGTACTCAGGCACAGCTTCATAGAGTTTGATTGAGCTAAATGCTAACACCACAAACAAGTATAATGAAGCCGTATTTAGCTTGTTAGCATGACAACAATAGCTAATCAGCAGTAAACTCAGTTTTTTCTGGTATTTAGTTGTGAAAGAAAGTATTGATGGAGAAAAAAGGCATTACACATTCATTGGTATGACAGAAAGACCCTTTTTCCTAAAGCAATATAACTTTTGGGGAAAACATGTGAAACATTCAATGACAAGCCTCACCCCTCTGTCTCCCGCAGGGCTCCGTTTGGAGTTGGATCTTCTCGGTCGTCTGTATCCAGTCCAGTGGGTGGAGGAGGAGGAGGAGGAGGAGGAGGTAGCGTGTGCAGTAGAAACTCTGCCCCTTCGTCCCCAGGCTCCCCGGGGCCCTCTTCTTCGCGTCCCTCCACCCCACTAGTAAACTCTGTTGCCAGTCCCGCCTCCTCTCCACAAACTGCCGCCGCCCAGCTGAAGAACTGCCTGCGCTCCAGCCAGCACACAGCCAACCAGGCCCGCACCTCAATGCAGCTGGGTAAGCACACACGCACACACGCACGCACGCACGCACGCACGCACGCACGCACGCACGCACGCGCACACACACACGCACACGCACACGCACACGCACACGCACACGCACACGCACATGTTAGCAACACACAAAATGGGCTTTAATCATTAAGCACTGGCTCCATGAAACATTCAGAAGGTTCGGTTTTGTTTCTATTTATTGGTCAATCCAATCACATGTTTACTGATTATTCAGGAATTAACATAATCACATCTTTACATAGTAAATAAACTATGTTTAGTTTTCCTTTCCAAAGCTGCACTCAAATAGAAGTTGAGATATCTACGCGTGAAACTAACATCCTGCAACAGAAGCAGCCACATTAAAGACTCACAGTATGACATCATGAGAAAGGAGAGCCGTTTCTTGTTGCACCCTCCAGAGAAATGTTAAGCAAGTGGAAGGAATTTACTCACATCTCTGCTATTTTTCATGTCATGCTCGGCAATATCACGGCGCGCGATAAGACTGCTCAGCAGCCTACAGGCTTTAAGGAGCAGAGTGCAGATAATTTGGGTCGTCGCAGCATTTTATCCCCTTAGTCTGTGTTTACAGAATAATAGAATATTGATCAATCATTAATTCAAGTAGCCTCTGCACCATGTAAAACTGTGCAGGTTTATGTTAACAGCAGACTATTTAACCTCTGGTTCCATCATGCTGTTAGTGAAAAGGAATCAGAACTAAAGAAAGAACCAGTTAGTGACATTCAAGTACAGAACATGGCCAAAGGTACGTGCACATTTGAACATTAAGATCATAAAAGATAGTTGAGAATCTTTTTGCAAAACACACCAAAAGTACAAGCCATAAGTATATTTATCGTATATCAAACAGATATTGATAAATCACATAATCTGTTTGATCATCTCTAACTTGTTTCCATTGATTCATCCATCAAACCATCACAGCGCTTATAAAGACACACTGACACTTCCACAAAGACCTACTCATTTTGAGTATTCTATTCATCAAATGTTGTGATTAATTTATTTCAGACATTTTTGCCTTAACAATAAAGTAGACACAGGAGAAAGGTGATTAGGAGAAAGAGATTTTGGGGGGAATTGCAATCATATTGTCAGAGCCTTAATCCACTGTAGGCCCCCAGCAGCCCAAACATGCCTGTCTTTTGACTGTTAAAAAACACAGAATAGAGAAGAAAACGCAAAACAATAATTCAAACAGAGAGAGCAAAAAGGGAACAGGTGTATTCTTGCTGTGAGGGGACAATCGAAAACACAGAGCCTTCATGCTGCGAACAATTTTGCTTGGAAAAAACCCTATGATATTGTTCTATGAACATCATGCATGCTCACTCCATCTTTCCTCTGCACTATACGAACCCACTGCATCATCGCTGAACATAAGCCTCTGTAGCAGAACAGCTACAAGAACATGCTGTAACTCAGAGCAGAATTATTCACTGAAATGCACTGAAACTGTGCACATACAGTCGGCACAAAACAGAGATCTGACCGCGCAGTGGTATTGTTTGTGCACACACACACACACACACAATCACAAACGGGACACACACACCTATTTGTGAACAAGGTCCAGATCATACCAGCCTTGTTCTCCACTCAGAGTCTATTCATCTCTCCAGAACCCCTGTCTCTCTTCCCTTTGTATGTTTTCTTTCTCCTTCTGAGAAAATAATGGTGACCGTTTATTTGGGACGCTGACAAGTACACACTGTGAGAACACTGCCAAGAATAACACACACACACGCACACACAGGCATGTGCACAGTGAACACACATATTTCCTGTACGCGCAGCTGAATGACATCACTGTGCTTGCTTTTTGTTTTATGGAGGCGTAATGACAGAGCTTCATGCCTCTCTCCTTTCCCCCCTCTGTTTTTCTCTCTCACTCTCACATACACACAAACAGACACACATCTGGTCTCCATTACAAAATAAAGTATGTGCATAGTTCTAGCGCTTAGTGGTTTTATCACATGACCAGCGAGCCTCTCTGTGGATTTCTGCCTAAGTACTGCAGTGTGGAAGAACAGGTGGCTAGTGTGTGTTTTTGAGCATCTATGCCTATGTGTGTGTGTATGTGTGTACTTTATCCTCATGAGCAGCAAATGACCTCATACAAATTGAACGCTGGGAAAAGTGATCCAAAACTCAGGACATCTCAGACAGTTTTTTTTCCTGATGGGGTTTGTTCAGAATTTAGGGTGCTCGAATTAAGCTTAGATTATTCACAGTGCTCCACATATTCAAATGTTTTAGGGATGGGGTTTGAATTATTCAACCTTATTCTCCCAGGTTGGGCTGTTTACCTGGTGTTTGTGAGTTTTATTCAGAGTAAGAAATGGACAATGTAGGAGAATTGAAGACTCCAACTTTTAAACAAGATACTCATAGATAATGAACTTAATATGACATATGGGGATAGGCATGTTTAGAAAAACAAAGGTTGGAGGACTTCAAAGTGATATCTGTCAAAGGTGTTAACTTGGTGTAGTTGTGACAACAAATAAGGAATGTGGGGTTAAATTAGCATAATTAAAATAAGTAAAACAATTGTTAATCTTTTTGTTTGTTTGTTTGTGTAAACCTTGTAGTGAAAGAGTTTGTTTATTCTAATACGATATGATAAAATTGTAGGTTTTAGAAGCTTAAGCTTCCACCTACACATTTTCAGTTATTTTAGTTATTTATTTATTTTATGTGCTTTCTTTTCGAAATGTCATAAATACTGTAGCACATTTTAACTTCTCATTATTTTCAGCAGCCTTTTCCTATGTTATCCTAAAGCCTTAACGCATAAACCAATAATGGGTGTTAATTAATGTTGCTCTACCCAGTATCCTTTTTCAGAAAGAGAATCTCTCTGTAACCTAAAGTCTGCATAAATGTGGCTTTTGAAGGATTATTTTGATATCATATCTCTCTTCAGATATTGAGAGCTCCCAAAACATTGGCATGAACTCACTCAGGAACTAAATAACTGCATTTATAATCAGTTTTTACATTAATAATAACAAGTGTTTTTTCTGTTTTAGTCCACAGTCCACCAGCTGGCAGCCCGGAGCGTCCCACAGTGGCTCTCTCCCCGCTGCGTCCTCAGAGCTCCTCCCCCTCGCGCTGCCCCGGCCAATCGGGTCGTCCTCACTCCATGGTGTCTCCGGGACCCTCCCCTCTCTCTTCGCCCGCCTCGAGGCCCCTCCTCCCGCTCTCCTCCCCTCTGTCCTGCCTCACGCCTCCCAACGTGTCAGCGGTGCTCCTCAACGGCGACCCAGCCAATCCCCTCCAGCCGCCATCGCCGGGCCCCTCCCACGCACCCAAAGCAGAGAAGGTGAGCCTCATCTTGACAACTGCAAAAGCACATTTTAGCTGCGAGCCATATATCATTGCTTTGTTTTTAGATTTAACCACTTTTCAGAGTAATGCTGTAAAGAATGCTCTGTGGAAGAAAAAAAGTGATTGAACAGATTTGCAATAGATGTATTGTGTTTTGAGAAATTAGAGCAACTAGCACTCTCTAATAGAATAATTGGATGTCTTGCTTCTGCAAAGTTACTTCTATTATGCTCACCACATGCATACTCAAGAGCGCATTAACATCAAGACAAGATATCATTTTTTAAACAGGTCCCCTAAAGAGAAAATCTTGTTTATAAAATAAGTCTTGAATACCTAATGGTTCAACATGTTTTAATTAATGTTTGATTTTAATCAAGTAAGATGTTAATCAAATAAGAGCACAGCCTTCTAAATATGGGCTAATATTAATTATTTCCACCCTCTTTTACTGTTGTTATCATTTTCTTGATTAAAGAATGTATCATTTAATCTGCAAATTGAACGCACGGTACATTAATGTCTGCCAGTAATTTATTTTCTCTGAACAAAACTCCAAAACATATCAATTATTGATGGACTACAACGCAGTAGAAAGAAAGCAGCAGCTTATAACAATTGAGAAGGAAACGTTTGTTATTATAAAAAAACAAGAAGTGATTGATCAATTTTTACAATTCTTGCTGGTTGATTCTCTGTCATTCAAACAAATTGATGAATGGAGTAACTGTTATAACTCTAAACCTGACGGTCTCTAATGGATGAACATATCCAGAGGCAGGCATCTGTTTTTTTGGAGAAATTCAATATGGGAAAACAAATACTGAGTTTGCGTGAGTCCGTTAAGAAAACACAATCCCTCTTGTTTTTGACCACTCAGCTAAAATAGTGCAAATACAATAAGTGTGAGAAGAAGAAAAACATGGTGCCACTTCCCCTTCTTCTGATGTGCCCTCCCACCTCCGTTAGTGTCATTCACCGGGCAGCTGGCACACCTCCTGGATGCCATCCTCCATGTTGTGAGATGTGCGGCGTTAGAGCGCTGGATGTTAAATCGGGCCGCGCTGACAGTGAAGGATGGCAGCGAGAGCTCGCATCTGTCTCGGCTCCATTTGTTTCACTGTTGGCTCCACTGTCTGGGACAGCTAATCTATGGCTAGCTGACAAACAGCTCATTGACTATGGAACAGCAGGAAGCGGCCTTGTTTACATCGGCACACTCAAAGATGGCTTGAACCGAATTCAGGACCATTACTCATAGGCTGAATATATCTCATAAAAGTTGGAACAAGGTGTTTAAAATGCCCCATTTGTCATTCTGATATCACAGAATGCCACCTTATCACAAGTACAAAGGTTGTTTCTTGTTATACTAAATTAAATATCTGCCTTAAAGAATAATTCTAGTGTTTTTTGGTATGCTTTTTCTCTGCCTTCTATTAATCCTAAGCAACGACCTGCCTCACCGAGTCTCAACAAGCTGCCACTCCCCCCCAAAACGTCCTTTCAATATGGATTTGGCTATTTTAAGAATCACAATATGATCAAAATACAGTTTTGGAAGCGTTAACTCCCTGAGAGGTTGAAAATGATACTGAATAATGGCACAAAAATATCAAATGCTGTCACTTTAAGTTGGCAAAATATGATATGGTCATAATAACCATTTAACAAATGTTCAGTCTTACCCTTATCCACAGTGCTTATATTTGTTGCTTTCAGCATGGGGGGGCAGAAGCATCAGGTTGAAGTCAGGGTGGCGATGAGCCCACCAGAGTCAGTCTTTGTTACAGAGGCCATGATGAAGCGGCTATGATAACTGTCTGGGGGACACAGAGTAATCTCTGTTTGTCACGCTGTCTACAGCCTGCATCACAGACACACATCACGTTGGACATTGAGAAGTTCTTGTAGACTTTTCGAAGAAGTCTGCACTCACAGGACAGCTGACAACTGAAACGCTGTCAGTAAGTCAGGCAGGATTTCAGAAGGTCTGTTAAGTGTTTATATAAAAAGCATTGATGGCATTGATCTTCAATGAAAATGGGAGGAGTGACTATAGTATGACCAATTTTCCTTTGAGCAGTAGAGTAAATGAGCACAATGTGACTGTTTCTACATTGTGTGTGTAATGTGTGCAAACACAACAGAATGGAGAAAGACATCTTCCCGTAAGGGATTCATAAAGTATGTCTTCTTCTTCTTTCTAATGTAAGTGTCTTGGAGGTTTCTAATTGGGAAGAGATTCACATTTACAAGCACAAGTACACATTTTGTACAAACAAGTTTATAAAAGGAACAGCAAAATGGAAACAAAATTAGCTTCCCTTTTTCAGCATCCTGCCAATGTGCTGCAGTGCAAGGCCTGGTACTAAATTACACTTCAAATGCACAGGAAGGAAATTGTGAGTGTATGCTGCCATCTGGTGGTTGACTTAAGAACAACAGCACACACGCACACGCACACACACGCACACGCACACACACACACACACACACACACACACACACACACACGCACACACACACACACACACACACACACACACACACACACACACAGGCAGCTGATTAAGCCTTTAAGCCTGCAGATGAAAGGGGAGAGGGAGTGTTTACTCACTTTTTTCCGCTGTTGTCAGTCCCACCTCCTTCCTTTCCTCTCTCCTTTTACACCCCTCTGTCCTCCCTGCTATCTTCCTGTTTCTACACCTTTCCTCTGTCCTCTCCACCTTTTATCCCCTCTCTGAGTCGCTCCTCTTTCATTGCTTTCTCCTTCTCTGACACACAATGTTCTCCCCTTCTCTTAATCTTTATTTTCTCTCCATTTTGTTCTCCCTTTCCCAAAATTAAAATTAAAATGCGCTTTATTGCATGACAGGAAAGAAGGCTATGTTGCCAAAGAGGTGGAACATTTCATATGCATACTGTAGGCAGTGAGCAAGATTTGATTTATGTTAAAGTAATTCAACAAAAGCTTTATAAACCTAATCCTGTGAGAAATAACCAAGTCTTATTGTTTAGGGGGATGCAGAACATCTCTGAAGGCGTGCTGTTGTTCCAGTCGGTCTGCTGAGTCAAAGTGTTTATACAGCATCGCTTGCTTGGTCAGCACTTTTTCTGTGCTGCCACATTTACATAGTAAGACTGGTCATTAGGGCCAGGAATTGTCGTCGTTACACTTTTTATTTGTTTGGTTTTGATCAGACACTTATACCAGTGATTTGGAATACACTTTGTGTACTTCTTCAGTGTTGATGCATAAGTATGGTTGTTGGATGTTGACTTTGGGCCGTAATACTTACAAAATGATGGAAAGGTCTGTGAACTCAACACTCCTTAAAGTTCTCCTGTTGTGCCGTAATGTTTCAATTCTTTATATTATTAAGTTGGCCCTAATTTCTTTGCCATGAAATACCTTTGTTAGTCCACAATTCTCCACAGTGCCTGACCTTTGAGTGTCTATGATTGTATCAAAGTGTCTAAACTATGCTATGTTATCGATTGGATTGTAAATATATATTTTTATATATAATGTTTTTCCTAACTTTTTGAACATTTCGTCCGACTGATAAACAAGCTATTTTGCAATGTTAACTTGAGCTTGAAATTATGATGGACATTTTAAACAATAAAGTGGTTGATCAAAAAATAAAAAGGCAAGGCAAGCATATAGCACCCATTCAACATAAGGCAATTCAAAGTGCTTTACAAAAATAAAAACTTTAGAGCATAAAGAAATAGTGCAGCAGAATCACAACAAACAATGACATTTAAAAACAGTGATTAAAAAGCATAAATGGATTAATGAATGGTTAGCTGCAGGCAAAAACCCAATAAATCCCAATCTGAAATCTTTCATTTCTCCCAAATTGGGACAGTGCAGATAAAGTATATTCTTTTTTTTCTTTGTGTCGTTTTTTCCTGTATCTCTGACAGTTTATCACTGTGATCGTCTCCATGTTTTCTGACTACTCCTTTTAACTGCAGTCATGAAGCTCAGGCGGTTTAAAGACTAGCTGTATGTGTTACTGAGCCATCTGCTAAGGCTTGTCAATTTGGTATGACAGCTGGGCGGGTAAAAATAATAGATATAAATATAAATGTTCATTATATCGAAGCAGTGGCCTTAGCAATGTGATTAGAAGTCACCATTACCCCAGAATAGTCTCTCATGCAGCATGTTTAATGAAAACATTTTGGAGACATTATGAAAACTGGAGCAAAGAAAATGAAAAGGCTTGTGATGCCCTCCTGTAAAGAGGAGAGAATAAAGTCATTAACAGTTTCTGATCAAGGTTAGCACTTACGATGTGAGAAAAATGTTGTTCACACATAGTAAACCAATATTTACACGTTCAGGTGGGGGAAGCTGAAACAAACACCAGAACCTAACAGGAAATCTGTGAAAATGTGGAGGAAAGGGACATTACCTCATACTCTGTATATAACTGTGATTTTTTAGACTGTGTGCCAGACTTTGTAGAACAGGATCACACTGAATTATGAAGTTCAGTCCATGTCATGTGCATCCTCCGATTTTACTGCCTCTGTTTCATGGAAGGCGCTTTGGTACTTCCCTTTACGATTATATCTAAGAAAGTGGAGCCAATTCAATGTACCGTTCAGTTTCAATTACATGCAATATTCCTGAGCGGCCAGTCCTGCAGTGTGGTCCCGAGCACGCACGCACACACACACACACACACACACACACACACACACACACACACACACACACACACACACACACACACACACACACACACACACACACACACACACACACACAGCTCCAGTATTTGATTTCCTTTGTCCCTCTGAATTTCACTGACGACTTTGTCTGCTCCATCGTCAGCTTCACAGTCAGAAGTGTTCACGCTCATCAACACGTTCCTGAAGACCTTTACAAGGTGCACGGCATGATGAAAAGTCTGCATATGGTGTCGTTTCTTACTGCTACTGAGAAACGACTATAGAAATGATTGGCAGATTAACCCTCATACAATTGTTGTTTTGAGTCGATGATGAGTTTAACAGACAGATATTTAATACTAAGTGTCTCCACCATGAGTCATGCAGAAGCACCACTTTATATCTTACCAGAGATGTGCTATAAAATATTCTATTCTATGGGACATTCAGCATAAAACAGCATGAAAATAAGCACTATTTTACTTCTTTACTTAATAAGTCTTAGTTGACTAAGATCAGAAGGATGTATTAGTTGAACAATGAGTGAGAGGGTCCTATATTTTTTTTAAACAGCTCTCTCGTCAAGTAAAGGCAATTTTGTTTATATAGCCCATTCTTTATGGTAGTGAAGTCCATAGGGACTTGGCTTGGCATCTGGAAGGTCACCAGTTCAAGTCCCGGAAAGACCAAGTGCTACCGAGGTGTCCCTGAGCAAGGCACCGTTCCCTACACTGCCCCCCCGGGCGCCGTACATAATGGCAGCCCACTGCTCCTAACACTAGGATGGGTCAAATGCAGAGAAACCGTTTTGTTACAAAGTACCTGTACTACGTAATGACAATAAGTTGAATCTTCTTCTTCTTCTTCAAAGACAACACATTTGCCTCAAGGGGCTTTAATATTGCTTTGTTGTAAGGAGAGAGTTTAATTTGTTTTCTCTCGTGTGATGTATTTACCTTGCAGTAGTATGGTGGTCAACAGGTCACACGCTCTCCTTCTGTTCTCTCGTCCACTCTCCCTGTTGCTTTGCATTTATTTAAAGGAACCATCTTCCTCTCTAAAGCTGTTGTATCTGTTTTTATCGTCTTAATCTAAAGTAGTTTATATATTGTTTACTATTTCCATTTTTAGACAATTAAGAACCGAACATTTTGAATTCTGTGATTTCCATTTTGCTTTGTAGCTTGCATGTTTGCAACTCCCATGCCGTAGCCATGGCAACTTTCAATCACTGCATCGAAAGGACAGTGTTGGATGGGAAACACATCTCAAAAAAACGATGCTCGCTCCAGCAGCCCATGTATAACAGCAGCAGATGGCTGACAGAGCCGATATGGAGGCTTCATGCATCTTTCCCTCAAAAAATGTAATTATGCTCAGGCATGCTCAGTATTGATCCCCTCGTCATGGCTGAGACTGTAAATCAGGTCAAGCAGCAAAAGACACAAAGCCACACAGGAATGGGACAAGAAATGGAAAAACGTGACTCTGCCTTTTAAGGTGCCATTAAAAACACTCTGCCTATAATCAATATAGCTTTCTTAAGACCACCGCAGTAGATGCACATGTGATCAGCGTGAAGGACCGTTAGTTTACCGCTTTGCTCGGCTACCAGCCTTTTAAAATATGCATTGTGCCTGCAGGCATTCATACTGTGTGACCATTATATTATTAAGCATACTTTCTTGAGTTGTATTCCTACTCCCATAACAATTGATGCCTTATTTCAGAGCTTTGAGTGAAGGTCAGAACGAGGTAAAGATCAAGCTACCTCTTTATTCAGAGGAGATGCTTCACCTACATCTAATGGTTCTGCTCATATAAACACTGTTCTTATTTCCCATGAATAATCTACAAGAGAAGTCTGCATGATAAAACGTGATCAATTCAGATGTAGGATGATTTGATACACTGTTTATTGTAAGAAAGTAGCATGGAGGCTCTGCAAACACAGCAAACTATCATTATTTGTCCATTCATGAATCAACCAAAGCAGTTGCAGTATATATTACAGATCAAATATCTTTTTCTAATAACCTGCACATTTGTATTCATGTTTAATTATTGCTTTCAATGTATTTAATCTAAAGTGCATGTCCTCAGTGTCCTTCCAACGTAAGCATCAGCGTGAAGAGGACAGTTAGTGTCCGGCTCACCTTTATTTACCGTCTGCCTTCTGATGAAAGAAAGGCACTTTTATCACCAGTTTGATTCCTTTTGTCAGGTGGAGTTAACAGGAAAATATGTTTCTACTGTATTTGTTTCATAAATGTGTTTTTTGATTAATGTGTAAGGAGTTTTTTCTCATGTAGAGAAAACTAATATTTGTCTTCACTCTGTAGAGGTATTGTTTACACAGACAAAGAGATTTCATTACTATGCTGTCACTTTTCAAGATAGGCTTTATGAAACCTGTATTTCTTTCATTAAACCTGTATTTTATATCTCACCATCTTCTGTGGGTTCCCCCCCCCCCCCTGTTCATCTCCATCCACGCTGCCTGTCCTCAGAAGGAGAGGAAAGCTGGAGGTTTATTAAAACTGTTGTCGGGGGCGGCAGCCAAGAAGAAATCCCGTTCACCCCCCTCCTCCCCGCCCACCCACGACCCCTCATTGGCCGGCCACGACCCTGTGCACCACCCCCACCACCACCACCACCACGCCCGCTCAGGTTCTTGTCCCATGGTGGCCCAGGGGCGCGCCGGCTCCTGTCCTATCGAGAGTGAGATGGCGGGGGCCATTGGGCTGGAGCCTCTGCACAGGAAGTCGGGTTCCCTGGACACCAATTTCCCCATGTCGCCCCCGGCAACACGCGCCATCAACGCCCTGATGGTCCTCCGGCCTGAACCCAAACCCCTGTCCAGAGAGAGGTGGGCACACACAGCAAAATCATAGTGAACTATTGCTAACATTTTCAATTAAGTTTTTCCTCTCTGAGGTACAAAATGTGTACTGGGAAATGCAGGAGATTACTCATAAAGTAAGCAAGACATGGTTGTGTGATTCCCAGAATCCATTAAACATATTGACGGGTCCCAGAGAATCCCAGGGTCGATATTTCCTTTTACCCATAATTCACACTGCTGTCCATACTTGGGAAGAGCACCACAGGAAGTCATTCCTGCCTGTGGCCAGTCAATAAGCTGCCACTTATCTCTTTATGTTATAGAATATCATGCTCTTTTATTGGACATTTTTTCTTTACATTTAAAATAGTGTAAATATATGTATATGATCTGTTGTATCTGTTTATTGCACATTCTAAATTATCTTTATATAAATAGTTAATTTCTCTTTTATTTTATTTCATTCTAAGATGGAACAACTTTTACGAAAACCAATTTCTCCTGGGATAGCTCTAGTATTTCTGATTATGATACTCTCCACTCTTACCTGCTCTGTTGATGTGCTGTTGTGTGTGTTCTAACTGTGTGTGTGTGTGTGTGTGTGTGTGTGTGTGTGTGTGTGTGTGTGTGTGTGTGTGTGTGTGTGTGTGTGTGTGTGTGTGTGTGTGTGTGTGTGTGTGTGTGTGTGTGTGTGTGTGTGTGTGTGTGTGTGTGGCAGGTTTCGTGTGGTGGTCCCCTACCCCCCCCAGAGCGAGGCAGAGATCGAGCTGCGGGAGGGAGACGTGGTGTTTGTCCACAAGAAGAGGGAGGACGGCTGGTTCAAAGGAACCCTGCAGAGGACAGGGAAGACCGGCCTGTTCCCCAGCAGCTTCGTAGAGAGCTTCTGAACGGGAGGAGGTGGACGGACAGACACTGTTCCTGTTTCTGAGTCGAGAACACACACACACACACACACACACACACACACACACACACACACACACACACACACACACACACACACACACACACACACAAACTCACATACACACAGTCTTCTACATACATACACGACTAGATGGATGGACCGAAATTGGTTCCAAGAAAACGCAAATTCCAAAAAAGAGACTTCTTTTGATAATAATAATAATATTAATATTAATAATAATAACCATCAATAACAACAATAACCAACATAAGATTATAGCAAAGTAAAATTAAATTAAAATAAAATGTACACAGATAAAAAAATAATTTTTTAAATAAGTAAAACATTTGAAAACGTAATCAGAGCAGGAACAGCACGTTTTTTCCAGAATAAGAAACACTAAAATGTTCCAACTAATAGCTTTTGAAGACTGGCACAAACAATAATCAATAGTAATTGCCTTCAGAAACCCATATCGGTCCAACTAAATACACACACACACACACACACACACACACACACACACACACACACACACACACACACACACACACACACACACACACACACACACACACACACACACACACACACACACACACACACACACACACACACACACACACACACACACACACAGGAAAGCTAGCCCCAGCTTTGACTTGGATTGAGGGGCCCCCCCTGTCTTTGGCCCTGTGATGAAGACTACTGAAGGCCTAGGCTCAGAGAGCACAGACCCCCCCCCCCCCTCCCCTCAGCATCACCCACCAGCAAACACTAGCACAAAAAGCATTAGCTCTGCTTTCCACTGAGACCTCAGCACTTGACTTCGGTGCTTTCTACGAGAAGAGCAGATTTCTCACCAGGGGATGAGGGAAGTGTGAGCCTACAGTCCACCATCATTGTCTAGTTTGTGACAACAAGCACATGTGTTTCTTACCAACCCAATATGTGTTAATAACGATGCATGTAGCATTATTATGTTTTTTTATATATATGTTGAAATAGATGTTTGTGTTGTCCCAAACTAGTCATGCTGTGATGATCTGTCACAGAACAAAAGGTGCAACAAGCAAAAAGTCAAATAGGTGGTTCATTCTTTTTATATATCTCACATACATTTATACCGCCATTTTTTTAAATTTAAATATGACCTTTACAGACACCCCACAACTGGGTTAAACTGGCTTGCTGAATGTAGGAGGAAACTAAAAAGGTTGAAAAACCAATTGAATTGTACTTGATTAGGTTCTTTAACACACACAGAATGCACTTGGTAATATTTTAAACAAAGGGCCAATACAGTATCGACATATACAGTATTTAACACACTCAATTATTATTTATTTGACAAGCGGGATTTCCGTTGCTACAAGTGAAATCCTTCTTTTTCTCTAAGCCGGCACAAACCTCTTTGGCACAACAGAAATGAAATCTATGAAGCTACTCAAACCAACAAAGAAGTTACAAATGCGGATATAAGTAATCAATACATTCTTGTTAAAAGCAATTCCTCCTCCTGCCTTTTATTTACACACTGTTGAGAGTTTTTGTCTGACTGCAGCACTATTGTGAAACCAAATGTGTGTGGATTCGATGCTCACTGGAGAATGTACAGGAGGAGGAAACTCCTGAGATCAGACGGCAGGGACGAGTTTCCCACCACACAACTGCCAACCTTTGACAACAACTTTTCCTCCAATCTTTTTGTACGGCTTCAGTGAGTGTACAGTCAGTCTGCTTTGTGAATTTCTACATCCTGAGTGTGGAGCTTGTCTAGTTTACATCCAGCCACAACCATCTACCTTGTTACCCTGTTTCTGGAGATAGGAGCACAGAAACTCAGAGGTGTGTGTGTGTGCGTGTGCGTGTGTGTGTGCGTGTGTGTGTGTGTGTGTGTGTGTGTGTGTGTGTGTGTGTGTGTCAGAGAATAATACTGGCCATGTCTCAATAAGAGAACAGATTAATGAAGGGTTTTCCTCACATGCTGTGTTTTTTAAACTGGGCCAGAATAAAGCACAAACACTTACTGGCACACAGCTTATTGGCTGAGCACACAAATGTCTAATTGGCTCTTCTCGTCGTTCATTGGCTAAGGACACTTGACTTCTTGGTGAACTGCCTTTATGTCATATGGTGTGACTGCAGTCTCTGCTACAAGCTCTCCACAGAGTCACAGACAAACAAGCACAACACAGAAGTCCTAATAGAGACAATAACATCTGAAATGCATTTAGTTCTCCCTGACCAACCTTTATCCCAGATAAATGGTCAAGCATTTATTTCCTCCTTTATTTTTGGTCTTTAAAATTAATTGGTTAATAATAATTATAAAGAAAAGGGAAGCACATTTTAGTTTTTTTTCTTTCTTGTTCACCTTGAAGTGGGGCTGGAAGTTTGTTTTCTGAAGGCTGTTTTTGGATTGTGGGTATAAAGACTTGACCCTAACTAAACTGTGAAGAAAAGTAAACCTTACAAAGCGATTAAAGCACGGGCTGCTTGCAGTGCAGTATGGGTAATCCATGTGTTTCTGGAGCAACAGATGAACTACTACTCGAGCAAACACACACGCAGTTGAACACTAGGGCTAATCTGACAATATTGCTTTTGCATTTAAAATCATGGCTATGAAGCAGCTTGTCTTTAGATATTTTTTCAATAAAAAAATGTTTCTATTTATTGAACCATATTTCTGAAGTGTGCCGGACTATTTAGGCTTTCAATTGAGGTAAAATGCAAGTCTTTTACTGTCAAATGTTGTGTTATTTGAAGCCTCAATCCAAAAATATCAGCATTGGACTTTAAAGCTGTCAGTCAAATCCTAGTGCCTACAAATGCCAACACACACACTCACTGAGTTTCACATCAAGCAGACCAATCTTTTCACTTGTTCTTACTTTCTTTTCAGTACAATTAGCTTTGTTTCACTTGGTGACAAAAACTAGCAGATCCCAGAACAGCTCTGCACGCAAGGTTTACCTTATCCTTTTGTTAGGCCGCTGAACAGAAGACACACATTGTACTGGGTCTCACTCAAGCACAAGTCCTCAATAAGGTCTTATTTTGTTTTCATGAGGTTGATGCTGTGAGGAGGAAAACAGTTTACAACAGTCAAAACATCAGGAAGTTAAACCACAGTAGTTGTTTTACATCTTAATTTATGGTTTCACAATTGTGTGATGTGAGCTAGTCTTTCGCCTAAAGCTCCTGGTTGTAAATACCACTGGAGAATCTACGGTGGCGCCTTGTAGAAATTGTAAACAGCAGTGGTAATTTCCATTGGGCATGAACACAAAACAAAACATTTCTCATACATTTTGTATCGGATTTGATATCGAAATACTGTGCATTTCCTGTTGTTGTCCTTCCAGGAAGCCTGAGCACTCACCCTGCCATCTTGAATTAGATGTCGGCCATAATTGTTCCTATGGATACTTGTGTGTGTGAGTGTCTGTTTGCGTGTGTGTGCGAGGGGAGGGGGCCTCTGTATGTAGCTCTTTACATAAAAAAGGAACTTTATTAAAAAAAAAGTTTGGTGTGGCGTTGACGCTCACGCCTCATCATGACTAAGATGGGTTTAAAACGGCGGTACAGCGAGGGGAAACAGAAAAAAATAAAGTATATATATTATTCTATATTGTGCAGAATATTTATAGGCCTTTTGTGCCATTGAAGTCATGCTCTGCGCTGGCCATGCAGCGCTCTACCATGTGATCATTATACATCGTCTTGTACCGATGACCCGTGGTTGAGTTGATTGTTTTTTCATGTCAAGTGCATTTTTCGCAATAAATGCCTTTGTTTTAAAGCAGATTGTCTGTGTCTTCTCTTGCATCCACCTGCAGCTTTGTAATGGAGATAACACCGGCAGTGATAGGAAGCTAAACCCGCTTGTGTACTCTGATGCAGAACGAACACATTACCTGTACAGCCCATTAGGATTTTAGTGTTGCCCTTTGGAGGATTAATCCTGAGAATCATATTATATCCTGCTCTAATTATAATTATCTGCACTCACAATGTGCTCATTATAAGCTTATGAAGCCTTCTGAGCTACGCTCCAGGTAGGGCGGTCTGACAAAGTGTTTTACTGTCATTATCATCACCATTAGCTAGTAGAGTATGTTTTAGAAATAAAGCTGACACTTTCACTCTTTTCATCATGCCTCCATCTTCTCCCCTCCTTCTCTCCCTCTGTCTCTCTTGTGTTCTCAAGCCAACACTGGCATGGACGAGGTGTGTAATTGGTAATTTCACAACGTCGCCACCACTCCCCTTAAATGACAACCTCATCTCTTCAGCAGCAGGGCCTGTCTCCAATGATCAGCTCCATTTGCATTTAGAGTGACTAGCAAAAGGTGACAAGGGTATGTGTGCGTGTTTGTGTGTGTGTGTCAGTCAGTGTGTGTGAGTGCAGGGATATGACAGCTATCTTGGTCTGCGGTAAAGCTAGTTTCAGGTTGGATAGGAGACAGACATCCACTCTGGTCTTCTTCCTCAGTTTCCCAGGCTGCCAGAGGATAGTTACATCAGAGCTCTCCATCTTAACCACAGGGTTTCATTTAGGAACCATCAATAAACCAGTTTTCATGACACAAAACCAATGCTGTTTCCAATACCTCCATGCTAACCTTCACATAGCTTCCGTTTCATGTGATCCAGTGACTACAAATATATAGCATAATTGTTACTACACTGGACAAAGAAGACACGCCTCTTTTTACATGTAATGACCAAATTAACAGAGATAACCAAAAGTGAAAGTACTCATTATGCAGTTGGGTCCATTTCAGAATAATATATATGATATGTTTTGATTATAATTATGTATGCATTAAAGTGTTATCAAAGCTGGTAGAGGTGCAGCTAGTTTTAATGACTTGGTATTCTGCAGGGTAGTTTGTGGATTTACTCCAGGTGTAACTAAAGTCTGATTTAAGTGTTAATATTTCACATTATTTATCAACATCTGTAAAGTAACTAAAGGTATTAAATACATGTAGATGAGTAAAAGTACACAATTTACCTCTGAATTGTAGTGGAGTATAAGCACAAAGTAACAGAAAATGTAAATACTCCAGTAAAGTAT